AGACATTTGAAAGTGAAAATAACCGAATCTTATAACAATTGAATGTAAAGATAATGTCTAAATAACGACACAATTGTAACCTTAAGTAAGAATGACAAAATAATATTGTAGCAATTACGCAATAATGAAATAATTAAAAAATAAAGTTGAAATAACGAAACAATAGCAATACGATGCTGCAGTAATAACACAATAATGTAATAAGCGCAAAATACTGTTTAAATAAAGACCAAATAACCGAATAATGACCAAATAATAACCAAACAAGTTTCCAAATAAAGACCAAACAACTAAACAATGTTCAAATAATGACACCAAGCTAATTTTGGCGGTATTCTCACCCCATATAGCGCACCGTCGTCCAGCCTACTAACTCGAACATTGGTAACAACACCGTGCATGTTTAATTCCATCGGTTATTAAACTTGTGACAGGTACATGGTATGCACACTCGCATAATACTAAAATCAGTAAATTTATCGCTACATGCTGCCAGATTTGACGTGTGTGAGCATTTTTCCCCAATAAATATGGTGCATACAGTCGATAATAAGTATTGTGTATATTATAGATGCATACCGTAGACGGCATACAAAAGTGTTCTGTATATAATCGGGTGTTTCAGGTTGAAACATTGCATATGTGTTTGTTTTCTGAAGTGTCTCAAAATAAAACAGTTTCAAAGAAAAGTGTTTTAGTTATACTGATGAATTCATCAGTATAACTAAAACTCTTTTCTTTGAAACTGTGCGTGTACATGTAGTATACATAAATACTTATAAAACGTACATAGTCGAGTGTTTTACCTTGAAACATTACATGTGTGTTTGTTTTAGCAAGTGTTTCAAGACAAAACAATTTGTAGGAAAAGTGTTTTAGTTACACTGCTGAAATTGTATACATGTCGTGTACGTAAACACTTATAAAACATGCATAGTCGAGTGTTTTACCTTGAAACATTACATGTGTGTTTGTTTTAGAAAGTGTTTCAAGACAAAACAATTTGTAGGAAAAGTGTTTTAGTTACACTGATGAAATTGTATACATGTCGAGTACGTAAACACTTTAAAACATGCATAGTCGAGTGTTTTACCTTGAAACATTACAAGTGTGTTTGTTTTAGAAAGTGTTTCAAGACAAAACAATTTGTAAGAAAAGTGTTTTAGTTAGGCTGATGAAATTGTGTACATGTCGTATACATAAACACTTATAAAACATGTATCGAGTGTTTTACCTTGAAACATTACATGTGTGATTGTTTTACAAAGTGCTTCATTATAAAACAATTTAACAATTTGGAAGAAAAGTGTTTTAGTGTTTTACTCTTATGAACACAAATGTGTATTATACATTAACACTTTGAAAACATTTATAGTTTGGTGTTTTGGGTTGAAACATCGTTGGTGAACTTTTTGCTTACTAAAGTCATTCAAAGTATTTTTCGGAACAAAAACAACATGTGAGAATGCTCAGATGTGATTGGAACTACAACTACCGTTCACCAAAATAAAATCCGTTAGGCCACGAGGTACTTAATTCACTACGTGTCTCTAGTTGTACTTTGGTTGGTAAGATCATATAGGTTGGTGCGTGACATTAAATTATTTTCTGGAGGTAATGTCATGATCCATCGCATCATTACGTCACTTTCGGTGATTGTCTAGTTGGCATATATACCATAATGTTTACTCACGAGTCCCCAGACCTTTCACTCAATTTTGTATAAAGGTGGATGCATTAGTCCTTAGATGTTCTATTAATAAAAACTTTAATTACACATTTATGTCACCGTAAAACAGTGTATTTTTGTGTGTTTACAATGTGCTTAATTTTCATCAAAAAGTGCTTTAATAACTCCCTAAAACACTTTTCTAAAAATACAAAAACACTACTGCTTTGATAGAAAATACAAGTGTTTTATTATATAATACACATGTTTTTAATTACAACAGTGTGTTTTCAATTAGAACGGTGTGTTTTCAATTAAAACGGTGTGTTTTAATGAAAAACATGAAAATGCTTCCGAGATTTACAGTGCACTTGTACATCCAGACTGTAATAAAACAACAACAAATTTTAACCTGTAGACGCACAAAACATCCTGTATAAACATCATAGCTTATATCAATTCGTTAAATTGATTAAAATAAGTGGTAATACCAGAGTACAGGTCTATGTTATAAGTATAAAACACATTACTGTAGTGTACCCTTAGAAATGGTTAATTCATATGTTATTTACCCGGTACCTATATTCCGCAATGCCTGGCAGTGTGGGCCTCAGTACTTACCTATGTTGTCCAGTACCCTACCACTGATATAATCAGTGAAACGTGCTTTGTCATTTACCACCAATTTCATACTACTTACACAGTTTTGAACTAAAATATAATATATCATTACAATTATTACAAGCTTTCTGGGCTATTCCCGTGCAGAGATACGTCGCCGAAAGTTCTCTGTTGCTAAGACGCGGAATATTTAGCATGTGTTTCTATGGGCAATGTGCAAGCCGCTGTGGAACGTGGGTCAAACAGGCAATGCAAACAGCTAAAACAGAGGAAACTGTAAAAACCCAACTGTGAAGTATCCTTAACAACCAAATGATTTTATGTTGCACATGTAGGCGTAATCTCGTTACACTGTTTAGGGGAGTCCCAACAACTTTTCCAAAGTACTGTTTTTTTGCTATTGAGTGCAGAAATTTCTAATGAGGCAGTCGCAGCAAAGAATGAGTTTTGTGGCATATGTCGAATAACTTGATTTATCCGTGAATATTTTCAATATTGTGCGGTCGACTGTTTGCCTCGTGGATCTGTATTTAACACACGTAGATATTGTTGATAATGTTGGAATTTCTCACTCTAATAGATATACTTCCCATTCAAACATGAGTAATGAATAAACTTGATAGCTGTCAGCATCGGCCATATAAATATGAATTGTTATAAATGCCGAATAGTTCAAAAACCAAACTTGTTCTCTGCAATGTTTTTACAGCGAGGAAAAAAACTCATTTTTTATATCATAAGTTTAAAATAATTTCAATGGGTTGCTAATTGAAGAAGATGGCAAGTAATGTTTATGTTCTTCAGAAATGTTGTTTTGTTTTTAGTTGCTATGGACGTTAGCTCCGTTGCTGCGGATACTCCCACTTTAATTATGTGATGAATATGATGAATTTATTTTAGTCCCTCAAGACTCAAGAAGATATGAGATATGTATCTCAATGACAACGTTATCCATGTATAGAATAGAACCCTGACAGAAAATAAACATATATTACTAATGTAAACTCCATATATACAAACAAACTCATATAGATAATTGAGGTGATGGCAATGGTGAGTTGCTGTACTATAAAAAAAAGAATTATTCCTCATTTTGTGAACCTACAAGGAGTCTACACTTCGTATCATCAAATATCACCACAAACAAATTAGTTAAGGTTAGTTCAAACGGTTTTGAAAATTTAGACAACCCCAACTTACATGTCAAATAATCATATCAACATCACTAGGCTAGTTGGTTGTTGTGATTGTGATGGTGTCATTCAAGGATAATTATAAAACTATATTGAACTATAGTTTTATTTTAAGACAACATCTCATATTGTCATATACAAGAAAACACGACATGGAACATGAAGTACCTTTCACCTTTGACATTTATTTGAAGCAAGTTTTGCTGAATAACAAAATAAAAATAAAATAAATCTCTAAAAGTTATCTGTATTTGTCATTACATATTGTATTTCCGGGTTATACATTTGTGCGCATGCGCATATAATGTTGGAGTGGTAACATTTGAATCATTATCCGGCAATTGGTTTAATATATATTGATACAGTAATTACAGTAAATTGAATTGAGCAATAAGTAGATTCAGTCCAGATTTGAGTGACATAATATTCTGAGTATTACAATATTCTAGATTAACTTTTTGTATGTATCATATGTAATAAGTTCATTAACATTGGACATTTCGTTGAATTCATATTTTCCCAACAATAACCAATATTCTGATTTGTTTTAAAGAAATAACACTCGTGAATGCAAGAATGCTAATAAGATTCACTTATATAATTTTGTGGTGGCTGAATAAAAACTACTGTATTTTAGCATAATGAAATCGATCTTAGCTCTGCAATGTACATGACTGTATTCTTACACAGCACTGCATGGTAGTTTACTTCATTCACTGCCAGCACTGCAATGTGGATGACTACAATCATTCACGGCACTGCATGGTAGTTTATTTCATTCACTGCCAGCACTGCAATGTGGATGACTACAATCATTCACGGCACTGCATGGTAGTTTATTTCATTCACTGCCAGCACTGCAATGTGGATGACTACAATCATTCACGGCACTGCATGGTAGTTTACTTCATTCACTGCCAGCTCTGCAATGTGGATGACTACATTCATTAACAGCACTACATGGTAGTTTACTTCATTCACTGCCAGCTCTGCAATGTGGATGACTACAATCATTCACGGCACTGTATGATTGTTGGCTGCATTCACTCTCAGCAACGGATGGTTTGTGACTGCATTCACTCTCAGTATTGCATGACGATTGAATGCAATCACAATCAGTATTGCATGATGATTGACTACATTCCTCCCAGCACAGCATGATGATTGACTGCATTAACTCTCGGTACTGCATGATGGTTGACTGCATTCACTTTCAGTATTGCATGGTGGTTGACTGCATTCACTCAACTTTCAGAATTGCATGATGGTTGACTGCATTCACTTTTAGCACTGCTTTATGGTTGACTGCATTCACTCTTAGCAATGGATAGTGTGAGGCTGCATTCATTCTCAGTATTGCATGGTGGTTGACTGTATTCACTCTCAGCACTGCGTGGTGTTTGACTGCATTCCCTCTGAATACTGTATGTTGGTTGACTGCATTAACTCTTAGCTCTACGTGATGGTAGACTGCATTTGGTCTCAACACTGCATGATGGTAGACTGCATTCACTCACATCACAGCTTGATGGTAGACTACATTCACTCTCATCACTGTGTGATTGTTGGCTGCATTCACTCTCAGCAACGGATGGTTTGTGACAACATTCACTCTCAGTATTGCATGACGATTGAATGCATTCACAATCAGTATTGCATGATGATTGACTACATTCCACCCAGCACAGCATGATGGCTGACTGCATTAACTCTCGGTACTGCATGATGGTTGACTGCATTCACTTTCAGCACTGCATGGTGGTTGACTGCATTCACTCAACTTTCAGAATTGCATGATGTTTGACTGCATTCACTCTTAGCAATGGATAGACTGCATTCATTCTCAGTATTGCATGATGGTTGACTGTAATCACTCTCAATACTGCATGTTGGTTGACTGCATTAACTGTTAGCTCTACGTGATGGCAGACTGCATTCACTCTCAGCACTGCATGATGATTGACTGCATTGATTCTTAGGCAGTGCTTGGTGGTTGACTGCATTTACTTATAGCATTGCATGGCGATTGACTGCATTTATTCTTTGCGCTGCATGGTCGTTTACAGCATTCACTTTTAGTCATGGTTGACTGTATTCATACACAGCACTGCATGATAATTGACTGCATTCACTCTCAGTATTGCATGATATTTGACTACATTCACTCTCAGCACTGCATGATGGTTGACTGCATTCACTCTCAGCACTGCATGATAGTTGACTGCATTCACTCTCAGTATTGCATGATAGTTGACTGCGTTCACTCTCAGTATTGCATGATGGTTGACTGCAATCATTCTCAGCACTGTATGATTGTTGACTGCATTCACTATCAGAACTACATGATGGTTGACTGCATTCACTCTCAGCACTACATGATGTTGACTGCATTCACTCTCAGCACTACATGATGGTTGACTGCATTCACTCTCAGCACTACATGATAGTGGACTGCAATCACTCTCAGCACTACATGATGGTTGACTGCAATCACTATCAGCACTATATGATGGTTGACTGTGATCATTCTCAACACTGCAAGACGGACTGCATTCACTATTCGTAGTGAATAGTTATTAACAGCATTCGCTCTTAGCACTGCATCGTTATAGACCGCATTCGCTTTCAGCACTGCATATTGGCTGACTGCATCTATTCTCTGCACTGCGTTTTTGCTGACTGCTTTCATTCTCAGCACTGCATGATGGTTGAATGCATTCATCCACGTATTTGCAAGAAGGTTGACTGCATTCACTCTCAGCACTGCACGATAGTTGACTGCATTCACTTTCAGCACTGCATGATGGTTGACTGTCGTGGTCATAGTAAGTTAATTTGTCATTTCTCTTTTAGATAATTTAGGGTTTAGTCAATAAAATTAACTCAGTGAAGCCTACTGGATGAATACAAAATATGTATTTATACGGGTACAGTAGATCATGCCGATTTATTCATCTTTCTTGAATACACTCTCAAGAGCACATGTGACATCATGGTGGTGCAGAAATTCATTATTTATCTTCAAGAGGTTTTCTATACTACTTTCATAAAAGACGCCTTTCTTTTTGACATATTTCACTACTTTATCACCTTCTCGTCTCACTTTCTCTTCCCACCTGGCTGACCATTCAGACAGGAAAAGCTCAGTAACATCTGTACCACGCGTTTTAGCTTGTGCTGCAAACAACTTTCTATCATCATGTCCAATTCCCATATGCTGTGCCATGATTCTATGATCCTGCCACATTGGGTCTTCAGGCTCGAGATGTTTTATAACTGTTTGTCTTGTTTTATGAGGCAGCCATTTAACGTCGCATTTCATACCTTGCTCTTTCAGGAAAGTTGTGTCAAATCCAGGCATTATGAGGTCTGTCACTTTTTCTTCTTTACCGGCAGTTTTATGATACACATTGGTTTTCTTATTTTCGGCTTCGCGGATTTCATCTAATGTATAGTAGCATACATCTTCAAGTTTCTCATTGCTTCTCAATGATTCTGCACTCAAGACATATCTATCAACCTCGGTACCAGGGCAGGCAGAATGTAACACTTGTTGTATATCATAGCTAACCATTTCCAACACCTCAAAACAATCTCCTATTTCTTGTTTACTTTCACACCTCACCACTACGTTCACAGCCCGGCCGTTAGAGCTTAGTTGTACCAGTCCTTCCACGCCTTTGCAGATCTTGATTCCGTCTTTCCATATTCCACTTGGTGGGCGTCCCAAAGCAGTGAAGTGGACATGAAGACGTGTTTGAAGTTGAGGGAAAACATTTTCTGAAAAAAATATCTGCAATACTGCGACATTTAACACGTCTACCAACATATATTTGCATATTTGGTTTCAGCTGCCATTGATCTTCTGGCATAATTGAAGGCAAGCGACACGGAATTATGAATTCATCTTTATGACCAATACCATAATCGCCATCATTCAGTGGAAATAAAATTTCAAACTCACGCAGGAGGTTTACGAGTAAATCTACATCAACGACAACATTTCCTTCGAGGACCTGCTGAATATCTTTTTTTGTGTAAATCTGTTTTCTTTTCAAATGTTTTGGGTATCGATCAAATTTCTTCGACGCGAAGATTGGGCCAAGTATTTCATCACAGAACCATTTTGGTGCCAATATAACAATGTCTTGTCCCTCTGGTGATGTTCTACACTTCATGTAAAGTACCTAATATAATAGAAATATGATTTAATAAAAATATGATTACACATTTGGGTAATATGGTGATATAATATAGACATAATCATATTAACTATTAATGAAGGTTATCCTTACTCACCATACCAATACGATGTAAAAACTCTGTAGCTATGACCAAGAAATCATCTTCCAAGGTTGAGTTGATCTGTTGTTTTATGCACTCTATATATTCATTCCAGTACATTACAGGAAACATTATTCTTTCCTGAAACCATGTACCAAGCATCTTCAGAATCTCAGCGCAGATATTAGGCATGTACTTTATTTTCTGATGAGAGAATAAAAAAATACAATCATTTTATTTCGCAATTATTATTTACACATATTTTCATTTCATACTTAAATAAGAGCCATGTTGAACCTGTTGGTTACCATGAACATTTTAACACACACTATTTTGATTGGTATATGTGAGGGATTGTGTCTGGGGTAGGATATTGTTTTTGCACTACTGAAACATATAACACCACTTAGTGTCACATGTTCATTGGATATTCTCTCATTGGGTTGCTTGGTCACAAATTGGTATTTTAGAATTGTATATATTTTACAAGAAATTGTCACCTCAATTTTCTCTATTCTCTTAATCTTCAGAATCTTTCGTAACTTTTTCATCCCAGCGCTGTCAGGATCATGGCAGTCAAGAATCAATATGATGTCTTCTATATCTAAATATTTGCCGAAGAGCTTGGTAAGTTCCATTTTTATTTCTTCTGCAACTCTACGAGCTTGAATGAACACGGTTTAAAATTATTAAAAATGTTTATGTGCATGTTTATCACAATGCAATAATGGCATGTTAACGTGCACACTGCATCAGACAACAAGCTTGATACTATATAATTGACATGTAAACGTGCGCGCTGAATCAGGCAGAATATTACAATAATTACATGTAAACGTGTACACCGAATAAGACAGGATAACTAGTGTGATTTAAACGTGCATCAGGAAGCAGGAATGATATTACAATAATCGTACACCGAGACAGGCAAATGACAGCATACTACAATTATTAATAAATAGGGAGTGGCACACTTCTCTTTATTGAATGGTAACAGGGGAACTACGGGGAAACAGTTGAGCCTAGTTGTTACGAAATATCGAATATTTATTGAAACACTGTATTCTTATTTATCGATCAGTACCACCTGTAACCTTCCTGTCACTGCTCCAAATACTCTACTTACTTACTCTACGCTTAATGATCGAGTAGACAAACAAGATTATGTGTGTGCCACTCGTCAACATTCAATGTTAAATGTGTCCTATATGTATTTGTTGCAATAAATAAATCGACAGTATGGTTAGTGCGTTTAAGATTTCTTTTACTTTTACGAACAAACTCTCACCCTTAAATAAACAAACCCTAGATATAAATTACTGAGATTTTTAAATCCGCGTAAGTATCATTGCTCAAACGATCAGTAAAACTTTTTTAAAAAAAACAATGAATAAGTCACACAAATTCCTTAATCGCATTTTAGTTTCAATAAAAACTTCAATTACTGCCCAGTTATCGACTGATAAGAGGGATACGTGGTACCAATCGGCTAATTTGAACATGGTATTTCAATAATGAACGGCCATAGGAATTATAATGATATGTGCATGTCGAAATTACAACAGGCGGAAGACAGGGTGTTACATTAATTAATAACCGTACCTTCTTCTTCACAATTCTCTATTTTCGCCCAGTCTGCTTTACTTGCAACCAATATAACAGAAAGTCTGCTTTTCAAGTCATCGGGTAGACATGATTTATTTGTCGCCTTCATCATCATACTCCACTTACTAGTCTGCATTATATTGAATGATTTATAATGACGATTAGAGTAAGTAATGATTTAAAACATTGATACATTTAATTTAAACAATTTTCTATTTTATTGCTGACATTGAATCTTGTTAGATGGATAATTTTAGTAAAATCATTTTTAATAAGTTAATCAACATAAGTGAAATGTTTTTAGTACAATCTATTGATCAATATTGATTGAAATACAATGAATGGAATTAATGACAATCAATAAAACCAATTGAAATTACGCTTTTTGAAATCCATGCTATTTATAATTTCATACAGTGAAGAAAGTGACTGTCAATAATGGTTGCTATGAGCATGGCCAAGGTTGCTGTGACCGTGGTCTTGGTTGCTGTGAGTATGGTCACCGATCAGACGACTCTCATGATAATGGGAAGGCCAGGTAACAACCAAATCATGAATGTGTGACTCACGTGACAATTGGTAGAATTGATGACATATGAACAATGGTTGGTGACTATTTTGACAATGGGTAGATTTGTTGGTAGAGGAACAATGAGTGAGTGAAACGTATTACAAAGGGTAGGGTTGGTGACAATGTCGCAATCAGTGGGTGAGGGTTCCGACAATAAACTGAATTGGTGATAGAGGAACAATGACTGGATGATTTCTACAACAATTCGTATGACAATGGGAAGAACTGGTGACTAAAGAACAGTGAATTGATGACAAGTGATTGGTTACTTTTATGACATTGGGTAGATTTGGTGATAAAGGAACTATGAGTGGTAGATGTTCATGACAATGGGAATAATTCGTTATATGGAAAACATGAATGGGTGATATTTATGGCAATTCGTGGAATAGGTGACAATGTAATAATGAGTGGTGACAGTAATGCCATTGGGTAGATTTGGTGATAAAGGCACTATGAAATGGGGATTTTCATGACAATGGGAATAATTCATTATATAGGAAACATGAATAGGTGATATTTATGACAATGGGTGGAATAGGTGACAATGTAATAATGAGTTGTGACAGTAATGCCATTGGGTAGATTTGGTGATGACGGAACTATGAAAGGGTGATTTTCATGACAATGGGTATAATTCATTATATAGGAAACATGAATGGGTGATAGTTATGACAATTCGTGGAATAGGTGATAATGTAATAATGAGTGGTGACAGTAATGACATTGGGTAGACTTGTTGAGATAGGAGCTGTAAACCGTGACTTTCATGGCAATGGATATAATTCGTTAAATAGGAAACATGAATGGGTGATTTTTATGACAATGGGTAGAATAGATTGCAATGTACCAATAAGTGGTGACAGTAATGCCATTGGGTAGTTTTGGTGATAAAGGGACTCTGAGTGGTGGACTTTCATGACAATGGATAGAATTCGTTAAATAGAAAACATGATGAGTGATTTTTATGACAATGGGTGGAAGCGGTGACGGTAATGAAGGAGTTATGAGTGGTTGATATTGTCTTACGACAAAGTATGTTGTGAATATTAATCGTACTCATATGTGACAAATATAAATGCACACTTACTTGCGCTAGTGATAATTCCTTCAGCTCATTTGGTCTAATGATGTGACCGGTTTCTGTAGAGTCAGCTATGTTGTACATTAAAACGAATATAGCATCCTCAGCATTAAGTAACATACCATGACACACAAAAAATTCTGATGACCTGCAAAATCCCAAGTATTAAACTGCTTTCCTGAGATTTTCAAGTCATTTATGCTAATTCCTGGCGTTTTTTCGTGTACTTCTGTTCCAGGTACAGGCCCTGCTTGAGATTTAAGTTTCTAATGAAAACACAAACAAACATTACATTACAAACTAAAATTGTGAATGTATTAGGTGAGAGAGGGGGATAAGTAGGGTAGGGGGGGGGGGCAGGGCAAGGCATGGGATGTTATAAAGGAGGAATAGTAGCAGCTTTAGTTCATCGATTAGCAGCTATTTTGTACGTGTGCTCAACTGTACATTACACATAATTGGATGGTAACAAATCATCTATATCTAACATTATAATAATGACACTAGTAACTGAAAACACTTACTCTTAGAAATGACGGTACAACGCCCGTGTTTGCTGATAGAGAATTCATTAGAGTTGACTTTCCCGTTCCGCCATGTCCTAATATGTACAATTTCACTGTTTTCAGGGGTACACCAGGTTGTTTTAACAGTGTCTTATAATCTCTTTCCTTAAAAAATGATAAACGTTTATTATGACATACATGATGATATAAACTTTGATAATTTCTGAGCTATATTAAAAACTCAAATTTGACCCTTGTTGTAAAAATTAACGAATATAAATTCGATATATGAAAGGAAGTCAGAGAAGTATATCAATGTGTCTGTTTTTTCACAGAATATATTCAACTTATTGCTGGCAAAATCTCGTACATCACTGTTTAAACTATTTCAAGTACAGTATATAGTAATCTGTTTCTAATTTAAAATATAGTTTTTAAAATTGTGTGTAAAACAAATATATTCTTAATTACTAAAACAGCACAAAAAAGACAAATAGTATTATTACCTCTTTAACTTCCTGTAATAATATCCCGGCCTCCTTGTAATACTGGTTCTGTACGTCACTTCCTGTTCCTATCAAACCTGTGACATACTCAATTGGTGTCTTCTGGTCCTGAGAACATAACATCATATTATAACACCGTTATTTTGAGTAACAAAATAATTGAGTAATACAATAATTTATATTCTGCTTTAATTATTAGTTCTGTACTCACTAAAAAACAGGTGTTGAAACCCGCACATGTTTGTCCAAATACAAGTTATACATGAGTGGGGCTTTAAACTGTACTTAACAATAATATTCGTGTCTTAACTAATTTTGTGAAAATTGAGATTTTAAACTTCCAACCTTGTTGGGTGACGTCATATCGATGCCATTCTCAAGTAAAAGTTTGATAATTGTTAACGCTCTTCTTTTATCTTCCTGTGATTTCAGATCTTCACTATACACTTTCAATATCCTAAACATTGCATTCTCATTATACTGTAGATAGAATAAAACAAACTGTGTAATGATACGACAAAACGTTTCTCAAAAATTTTTTACGACGAAAATACTGCCCATTGTCTGATCATACGATGACGTCATAAGCTTCTGAGCTGAGAATAATCCAACACTCAATGTCAGGATATATAATCGGTTAAATTGTTGTATATCACAGTAATTTCAACTCTACAATAATATATACAATTTATTGATAATTAACACTAGTGTATTATTGTCACATCAATTGAATACAACAATATCAGCTGGGATGAAATCTAAAAATTCATATTTGTTGGCATGGTCTGAACATTGTGGTTTAAGAGATTCTAGTGGATTGTCATGCACACGAGTGACGGATTCTAACTATAGTGAAAATATCTTGAATAACAGAAACGCAGTGAAATGCAGTTATTTCTCTTACTGAGGGTTTCTCAGTTGCAATGACAAGTAAGGCACCATAAATCAAACAATTCAACTAATGAATAAATAAAAATAAATGATAACCTGTAAAGAAATATTTTCAGTTGATCTATGCTGACTACTTTAGTTATTGATTGTTTGGTCTGGGTTGATAACGTTTTGAGACGGTAATAATTATTACGAGATTTGTAAATTAATTGTTAAAACTGTACATTGTTAATTGTGTTGACTAGAAAAGCTGTATTATACAAACTAGTGGTGACGAAATCTTCAGAGATGAAAGTTTCAGTTATTTTCTACTAATGTTGTCAATGTCTACGTCATAGATATCAGACATTTTCCGATTAGCGTGACGAGTATTATTAAGTGTGATAAATGAGATTTGTGATTTATAATTGATGAACCATATGCCAAATAGATAGACCATGTTTTTTTTTTAAATTTTATCTTTATCTACACCTAATAAAATGTAAAAACCTCTGTGATTTAAGGGTACATGAAATAAGCTGTGGAATAAATCACAAAATGCTCATTTTAAAATGAAAAATGTAAACACAATGCACGAACAGATTGTTACACATTGTAAGTATTGATCTCTATTTAGGATTCTATTACAATGATTAATTAATAATGCAAATGTTAGTGGTCTAGGTGGTCGAGAATAGTTTAAGTAAAACAGTTCTATAGTGATCGGCCACTCTGAATTTTGTCACGACTGCCGGCTGCATCATGGAGAAATGAAAAATAATATTTACCTTTATCAGCGCATGCGCGATCACGTAATATTTGTCGGGGTAACATTGAGGAATACTACTAAATTGAATGCCACGTGTTTATGACGTAAACACTAATTGTGAAAATAAGAGGCATAAATGTGACTATACACACACTTAGTCATAATAACTGCAAATATTCCAAAAGGTGTGTCGGACATAGGGGATGTGTGGAAGCGATAATAAACTACAAACATTCGCAAATGAATTCAGATGTTTCTTGTATAATAACGTAACGATCCACTATCTCAAAATTACTGATAACATCTTTATACAAACACGCAAAACGTTTAAGAGTGAATGACGTCTTGTTTACTTAGTGCAATCAAGGCACCAGGCGTATTCGATATATTGACCTTTTCGCAAACTGAAAATTGTTTTCACATTTAACTTACATATTCTAATTTACACATTTCATTGCACAAATTCGAAGAAATATTACACATTTTGCTGGTTTAATATCTATTTTGTCAAATTGTATGGTGTGCGACAATAATCTCAACGTAAATTATCTGTACTAATGTAAGTGCACTGTGATCTCCATAGCGACCGCATATCTCGGTCATCTGCTTTAAAGTTTAATGTAAATATCATCGAATACACGACTCGATAAATACTACGTTAAATCAAAGTAAACATGTACTGTGTTCGTGACATGAACCAGCGTTCGCGTGCCACCAATCGCCTCACTTTAGGTCTTCACACTTGTCTTTTTTGCGATCACTGGAGATCAGAGAAAAGGAGTGAATAATAACCGAACTAATTACTTGTTGTAAAACACATCCACGCCAACCCACGTCACACCAGTGTAACCAGACATTGCCTTGAACCCGTTTGCACATGGCTGGTTATACATATTGCTGAATGTAATTTATGCCACTTGCGGTTAGTATCGGAAACAACGCGTGATATCGTTTTCGAGGGCGCTTTACATATTTCCATATTGCATCTCTCAACGTGCCAAACGTAGTAGCTGTAATTGTTTGAATGAAATAATACAGACGATGTCGTTTTAAAATCAGTAACATAAAAAGTTTTGTTCTGTCTATAGTGATGCAAAAACAAGACAAATTTAAAATTGAGTAAGATGTAATGAAAGAAAAAAACACTCTTTATTTTTGAATTAAGTGTATCTGCAAATGCATCACATAATTACCGCCATGTCCAGTCAATTCGATGTAAATACACAGTTTTAATGATTTTATAGAACAGTCTATAATGTGATCAGGACCAAAATAAATACATCGGTAACGTTGTTACAAAGTATGTTGTATGACCACGGTCGGCGACCTCTGATACTAAGACACCCTATTTAATCAGCTGTCCTGTCTGCAATTGAATAAAACCTGCCTTGATTTACAATAGTTTTCCTTTCAATGCGACTTCATTTTGAATTTGTCTTTGTTCATTTGTCTTACCGGTTTTGAAACGATTGAGTCGTAAAAACGGCGACTAGCTGTTGTGTGGCAAAATATTACTGAAACATTCTTTAAAAGACAATACATTACGGGCAACAAACCGAACTCTATTGGGTTTTGCTCCGCTTTTTGAATGACTCGCTTCTATCCATTTCATCCGTGTCGTTTGTCTGAAACTGATACAGTGAACTCCACACGGTTAGTTTTTTTAGGGATTGTGAAAAGCTCGTACAATTTTTTATGGTTAAAGTTTGAAGGAAAGATAAATTCAGACTTAGCCTTAAACTAAAACTAACGATTGCGATCGCTATGTTTATATAACTGTATACGTGTCGGAGAGTGATGAATGTTGGTATTTGTATGGTATGAATGTTGGCACGATAAGCATCACTTTAGATTTAATATTTTATTGATTTTTTTATCTTTTGCCATGTTTTAATTTGACCCTATTGATATACCACATGTATTAAAATAAATAACTAAATAATTACTTTAAAAAGAAACCAGTAAGCCAACAATCCATGCAGATAAACGAACAAGCAAACAGACATATACCTATCGTTGATATTGAAGTGTTTATGTCTGGAGTAAATAACCTATTGTGAATATGACATGAGTGGAATGCAAAATTCTTCGGATGACGTCATATCCAATATGACCGAATTACTCCTCACCTCGTCACGAAGACTAATGTCTGCAGATTTAGATAACAACAGTTTTACTGCATCCAATGCATTACGCCAGCAAGCATTCATCAGTGCTGTCCTACCATGCTGTAAAATATAATAGAATACATATCACAGTTATTAGTGAGGTTGTATGTATTTACATATTTACACACAAGTGTTCATGTAGTTTAACATTTGATTTAATTTGCTTAGAATTGGTTAATTGAGTGGTCATGGCAACATGGTAAAACACAAAATGATAACTAGGTTACGCAAATTAAAATCAAATCGCTGAGCACATAACACTGTCAGTAGTAAATGAAGAAGTTCAACAAAAGAGAAATCATATTGTGAATCATCTTCAAGTGTTCGTTGTAAAAAGAACTTAGGCTGGAACTTGCATTTTATGACTTGAGATACACTAATCATATTGTCAATTCTAACCTGTGTCATTTTTTATTTGTAGTGGTACTGGTGAGGTGTTATACAAACCCGTGTATGTAATCATTGTACCGTAAGAGAATGGTGACCATAATAGCCACTGAGATTTGCAAATTAAGTATAGAAATATTCAATTATTACACATGACTGCTGAAACATTCCCGCTGATTGGCCACAATTCTGTAACGTATCGCTCATGGAAACTGAAAATTTTGCACTGTCAGAATTTCATTTCAAATTAATTCCGTTTAAATTAGAACATAGTTTCTGATATAGAGGGCGCAGTACCCTACCATCACTTGATTTAAAATCATTATGAGAATTACCTTCATACTTTCTATAACATTACATTTACATGTACAAATATATAGTGTATGTTTTTTTTAAATCGTCACAATTAAAAGTTTTTTTTGCAACTATGGCTTTTTGTCACTAATTAAGATAGTAGAATAATCCAAGAAAAGACGCTGGAAGAATCTTGAATTCACACAGCAAAAGCTATTTTGTAGCGTAAGCGAGCATGTTATTTTATAACTGGGTTATAAATGTCATGCCCGAGTTTTTGTTTTGCGATATAAGACATCTCTGGAAAATTTGCATATTTTCAGTAAATGATTATCTCAGGTCCGCAATTTATTGCAGAGAGGTTTTATATCTACTACTAAAAATCCCCACGTTTCGTTTATAACATCCAATTGTAATTTTAGCTGTTATTCACATACTATGTATTTAAATTTGCGCGAAACATTATACCCCTGTCGTCAATAAATATTTTAAGATAAGATTCACATCCGATTTTATCGCAGGGCCATCTTTATCCAATTTTGATAAAAATAAAAAGTGATTTTAGAATGTGTCGTAATTTTGAAAGCCGGTCGACTGATGATATCCAAACAAGACACCAACCATTATGTTGTATAGCCGAAAGCAGCGGTAACACGCGAGTCTAGTTTACAAGGCGTCAAGCAGTCAGAGTTTCCAAACATTATTATAATTGGAGAACCTGCAACCCTGTATAATATATAACAATACACTGTATGGGTTTTCAAAATTATTAACCGGAATCTTTACTCACTACCTTTTGAATATTGATTTGAATTTATTGATGAGAAACCAAACACACTTTGTAAACATCGTTATATAGTTACTAATGGGTAAAATATAAAGTAACCTTTCCTTAAAATGATCTCAGTGTAATCGAATGGAGACGGCATCAAACCATTCTAGCACAAATTACGTATGTCAACAAGTTAGTCGTGGTGTGGCTATGAAATGCACTGGTGTGATTATCTTTCAAAAACAAGGTTGATCATTTTTACGCGAAAAAGACGATTAATTTAGCATCAAATGTCGCTATGTGTATCTCACATTATAGTATGCTAGTTCCAGGGCACATTTGAATTTACTGTCTACGCGACGATCATGATTCATCGAAAATATGTTTGAATACACCAACAGCAAATGACGCCATCCACGCTGTAAACGAATACGTTACGAATTTTGAGATACTGAATTGTCCGAGTTACGAACAACGAGTTACACACATGACCACGCCCACTTTGCAAAACCACTCCCAAATTGTAACTCGATGTTCAATATGCATGTTAACAAACAGTTTTTTGTTTTGTATAACATTGTATGTTTCCCGTAACTCGTTTGGCTGATAATCAAAAATTCGCGTTCCTAAATTTGAATGTTAAACAGAACAACAAATCTATGGTGCGCTTAACTCGATTTTCAGTTAACTGTAAATTGGTCATCGAGTTACAATTTAGGCGTGGTTTCCCAAAAGTGGCTGTGGTTTCTAAAATGCGGTCGTGGCCATTTTTAACTCGATGTTCATAACTCGATGTACATATCACAAACAATTCAGTATCTCTACAATATGAAAGTAAACTCTCCTAATTACTTCTTGAAGGATAGATCAATTCTGTGCATTGACAGTCGTCAAATTATAGATGAGAAAATAATAATAAAATAGGGTAATTTGTGTAATCAATTCTACGTTGTCATGGTACCAAGAATACATAAACTATTTTCCAATTAAAAAAAATCATGGCACTGTAAATTTATATTGGAAAACAATGTTTAAAATATTAACGATAGCGCCCTCATGAAAATACAGCATACTTCCTGTAAATATCACTGATAAAACGAATGTCCTAATGATGTTCTTATGACGTCATACATATTTGAAAACCATCAGATATAAGTCGACTGTCAATGGCATTGATCACAAGTATCACAATAATTTACAAACCGTGTTCTGGTAGTTTATGTCAGCGTTGTGTTTCAGTAATAATGAGATGGCAGAACACTGGTTGAAGGATGTAGCTATCATCAATGCAGTACTCTTATTCTGTAAATAAGAATAGAATATATGTGTATACATATCACGTGGTTTGGCAATGATGAGTAATATTACGAGGTAGCTCTATATACATTGTTCAAAATAATGAAGGAAAATAAAAAGTCGACTCGACCATATTATCAGATGACCAACTGTGATATCCGTGGATCCCGGTCGTAGTTGCGATGATATTAATATGCATTATTCAATCAGCGCCACGCGATATCTTTTGACCCTGTATTATTTGTGTTTTTACTCGGGAACCTTGCTTGTCCTTTCCGCCCAGACCAATTCAGAGCTCACCGCTGTGTTCCCACTGTTACCGCATTTGTTCCGAAAATAGATACGAGATACAATTCATCTGTTAAACGTGATCGGCCTCCTCTTATTTGTGACAACGAGGTTATTCGCGACTAATATCGGGTTCTATACAACCGGAAACTCCTGTATGATACGATCACTCGGCGTAGTCATCAAAGACAGTTAGTGTAAAGTTTTGTCGATAAGCACTGCGCAAAGTAGGCGAAATTCCTGCTGCCGATTGATATTGATATTTAGAGAAAGTATTAGAATATGCAACCATACTGTTCCCACGACACGTCGGCAATGAATCAATGCAATTGTATATATTATTATATAATATAATATACTACAACAGGACGTATAACTGGTGTAGGCAATAGAATGTTATGCTCGCTTTGAGCAAAACAGAAAGTTGTTAGAGTATCCCTAAACAAATGTAACTATACAAAAGTCTAGTAGAACGTATTTAAGGCAAATAAAGTGTTATTTAATACAGAAATAGTTGTGAACAGAACAATAGTTACAAAATAATTTAATTTGACCTCGTAACGCATGTGCATGATGCGTTGTTTTTTACAAATATTATGATATCAGGAAAACACTAGGAACGCCCTGTAAAATATTAATTAATTGTCAATGGAGATCTCGGTTCTTTCCCAGTGAACCACATTAATTTTTCTTGTATTAACTGTATACGTATATGCGAGGCATGACATTTTGGTAAAAGGCACGGTCCGGAAGGGAACAAATTTTAAAGAAAAATCCATCCCTGAAACAATTTCACAAAACACATCCTATAATATAATACAATACTTTATGTTCAACTGAACGTAATCACATATACACTAGTTCAAAATTATGGTAAAACGTGCCCCTTACCAATATAAAATATAATCTAAGTAGGTTCTTACAAGTAACCCCCGGAGCAATCTGATTAAAATCTGATGTTGTGTACGGGCTTTAATTATTTTGGCTATAAACTTATTTTAATTTTATTTTTTATTACTTTTGTTATTAATGCCTTTTTATTTTATTATTTTACTTTGATTTTGATTTTTTTTAATTCCGCCCTACATACATACCGCCCGACGCCTACGTAAGTCCCGTTCAAATCTCGCGTAAGTAACAGCCAATCACAGGCCCACTTTTATACAGGCTGTCGGTTGCTTACTTTTCAGTGTAGCGATACTCTACGGGCAATCTTTCTGTACATTATATTTTACCCACTTGAATAAACCATTAATAGAAAATTGCTAGTATATTTTTATTTACAAAAGAAATTCCACAGCATTTTACAATGTTTGTCATTACATTGAATATTTTGTTCACTTCCAGCAAATGTGTACACTTCCTGATACATCTTCGCCAGCCAAGGTTCGTTTATTCAGTCATCGCTTCAATTTTACATCAAACACTGAGCATAATTATCTAGAATGGAAGCAAAAAAATAAGTAAATCGTAATGATTAGAACACTGTAAACAGCTATAGTAAACAATGCAAATTTTAAATTGTATAACGGTCACCGGCCCACGACATCG